CAACCAGTTATGGTTTTATACAGTTATGTGTCATGCGTGATACACAGACGATCATGTATCTTTTGATACATGAACGACGAAGCAGATCTTTTCTCGCAGTAGGTTGCCTTATCTTTCTGCGGCAGACCAGTTGCCATCTAAGGCTATAGAACCCGGTCTGTCTTGCTATTTACCCATAACTGGTGGGAGAAGACGAAGATTCATACCTTTCCCAAGCTTATTAGCACGTAAGTAAATGTAATGGATTTGAATGGAAAACGAACTCGGCTCTCCGATTCCTCAATCCTAGCCGCTATCCATTACTCCATATCATTATCTTAAAAAACAATCTTATAATCTAAAAATACTTTATTATTTCAAAGGATTGGTAAACCGTAGAAAACGAAATATTCATTCTTTTGTTCTTTGTTCGTCTCCAGTTATGACCTTATTCATTTGTGAGTATGGACATTCGTTTAACCATTTTTTTTTCGTTCACTGGACTTTCGCCATTGAAAGATTTTTTATTTTTTCGTTCATCGAGTTTTACAGTCGGTAAAATACAGTGAATTTGTAAGAGCCGAAGAAAGTGTAAATGGCATCAGTGTTTTGTCAGATGTTTCATGGTTTCATAATGAAGAGACCCTCGGATGACTATTGCTCAGGCAGTGTGATTCAGTAGGCCAAACTAATGAGGATTATTCTTCAGGAGAGAATGAATGCGATTCCGTTTCGGTAACAGTACAAATTGATCACTTTCAGAAACGTGACCAGCATAAGGAAAGAAACCTGGTACCAATAGAAGCAAGCTAAAGAAAGCATAATACCCAGTAATATGTAACACCTTATTCAATTCTATTGGTAAAGATCTAATAAATAAAGTTTTATTTTGTCAATTTTATTTTATTTTTAACCCCCCCCCCCATTAGCTCAGTTTATAAAAGATAGTTGTCTATCCAGTATTATTTTTGGGAATGAAATCTCAGGATAATTCCAAGGTGTATTCTGAGAATATTTTCTTTATTAAATTAACGACCAGACAAAAGAACCTTGTTCAAGTGTTAACTCAAATTATTTGTATATAATACTGGTTAACTACTGCAACGACAAGAAGAGGAAGAAGAAGGGCAACGACAAGAACAAGAAGAAAAGCAATGAATACGTCAAATGTATGTTTGTAGTTTTTGTTTTTCATATAAATGTTAAAACTAATATACTATGTAACTTATTTTTCTTTTGTCAGATGTATTAGAGTAATAGATTTTTTTATGTCTTCATAGAAAATGAATTTTTCATAATTTAATACATGCTTCATTTAAGATTAAACACACCTACTTTATCACACTTGGTTATCAGTGCATCTATTCAAACTATGCAAGTGTATTTGAATGGTATCAAATGTCTCTCCCCCGTGTTATGCGTATGTGTGTATTTATTATTTCAAGCAAGGCAATAAATCAACTAAGACAAGGAGGTACCGAGTTTGAACGAATATACGAAAAAGAAAAAAAAAATTTAGGAACGAGAAAAATAAAGGTGGAATCAAGACGATAATAGATAACGATTGACACTGCATTTAAGTGTTTGAAGAGCAAAATTGGCTGATAAGCATGGAGCCAGAAAAAAAGTTCCACAAGCGAGAAGTTTCTTCAGAATAATTGCTATGAAAAACTGTCAGTTGGGCACCGTTTGTGACAAAAAGAGAACCATGACGTGATTCACTCCGCCAGAAATTTGGAAACGGCATGCTGTCCTGCTTGGCATTTGGACCAGAAGCTTCAATACGAACATAATTTTTGGCTAGCTATTTAAGGACAGTGCAGAGGATTCGAAAAGAGTTAGTAGAGTCTAATGGTGATTACGAAGGTATTTAGAGTTATCACTAAGGGTGGTGACGTTATTCTTCCATTCATCTTCCCACAGGGTCTCAGACGCAACACAAAGGTTTATGCCAAGTGCCTTGAGGAGGTAGTGCTGCACTGAGTCAAGAGGGTGGCTGCTGGAAGACCTGATGTCAGAAAATTTCTGCGAACACTTGCATCTGGCCACTTAACTCCCCAGACTTCAATCCCTTTGATCATTATGTGTGGGGCGCAATTGGGAGAAAGATTAAGAAAACTCCTTGTAACACCAAAGATTAACCGAAGGAAAGGATTATAGCAGCATTCACCAATGCAAACAAGGAAACCGCCCAGAAGAGTTGCTGGAGATTCCGAAGTCGTCTGGAGACTGTGATTAAAGACGGTGGCGATTTTATTGAATAGATTTACTCTATAATACTTCAAGATATTGTGTAATTTCACTAAATATATCTGTTAAAATAAGATGTCAAATGTTATTTTCATTGTTGCGTAATTTAAATGACAATATATACATCGCACCCTTGTGTGTGGGTGGGAGACGGAGGGTAAATTTGCAAAAATGACAAAATTTATGAAAAAGATAAGAGTGTGTATATATATGAAATTAAATATAGCGATACAAAAATAAGTAAATAAAAAATTCAAATAAAAAGAAAAACATTTAAACTAGTTCCAAATTTAAATGTTACGTTTTTAAAAAACTCTAATGTGGTAAGATTTCAAATTTGAAAGTTATGATTAGCATTTCATTTGAAGGTAGTAGATTTGAAAATAATTTAAATAGACTTTTCGAATATCAGCTATTTAACACGATACACTGATTAGAGGCCTTGCTGTTGGACGTAGTTTATCGTCTTACCCAGGACACGGTCGTAGTTTATTGTCATACCCAGGACGGTCGGGTGGGGGTGTAATTAGAGAGCAGCTATAAGAAATATCGATAACTTGTCTAAATAAATCACGTTCAAATGCAGATGGCACAGAAAGCTTTTATTTTGTTTTTCCTTACTGTGTGAATGTGCCATGTCGCTATGTAATCATAAGAATGAATAAAAATGTTGACGCACTTGTTTAACATAACCTACCAGGGATATCAACGATTTTATAAACATTAGGTTTGTTTGTTTAACGGCATAACTCGTTACGGGTTATTTAATGCCGAAATTTAATTTTCTTGTGACCGTTAGTAATTTCTTTTTCAAAAATGTATTACTGTTAATTATTTTACTATAGAAATATATTTATATTTTGACCCCAGTTTGAGGGGTTTACTATTTACCCATAGCTGGGACCCTAACAGGTGCTACCACCCCAGGTCAGGGTGGACCTGGGAACAACAGCAATTAAGAGGTGGTCTCTCAATCATCAAAACTTCCCTATCAGAGGTCATGCTGCCGGATGTAGTTTGATATATAATCGTCTGATGGTGTTCTGATTCATGGCCGTAATCGTAATATATTTCCCGTCAATACTAGCAAGCAGCATTTTAACCAGAATAAAGAAACGGGTTTTCGAAGGTTGATTTTCAAATCAAACAGACTCCACCCAATTACAATTGGGCAAAACAATCTTCCCTCCTTTAAAGTTGACCCTGGATCCACGAATACGAAAATACAAGAAAGTGTCCCCCACTTCCGTTGCAAACGGTATCAACGCGAGAATGAGTTCAATGCAATATGCCATCTCCGACTGCAGAGGCAGGGTTGAAGAATGAAAATAGTATCTTACGGTTCAGTATCTTCTTCAGTATCCCCTCCCCAGAATGAAAGTCAACCTAGCATCCTGCCGTATTGAGCTGACAAAGACAACACAAGGAAGTCATCATTGGTAGACAACAATCATATTGGGTTGCATTTAAGTTGATCTTATCTGCCAAAACGGTTTAAAATGTTTCCCAGAGAGTATATGCTAAATTGAGATACAGTGAAACCCGGATATAAGAGAAACCCGGATATAAGAGAGATTTTCTCTGGTCCCAAATTAGAACCTGTGTTACCTAAAAAAATAGACAAAACCCGGATATAAGAGACTTCTGCTCCGGTCCCGACAACTCTCTTATATCCGGGTACACTGTATTGGTAAGTTAATAGACTATCACTATGCGTAGCTAGTTTCACTCCATAATACTGAAAAGTAGGCTTCTTATAGGACATGAAATATGGAATATAACCCCCATCTTGAGTTTTAGAATTTCGTTTTTTTTGTTTTTTTAATCAGATTTACGGTTTTTTCTTAAAAAGAAAAAAATCTCGTTTCTTTTCGCCACGTTCTTTTATTTATCCCCCCCCATCAATGGTATTTACATTTCTTTTTTCACCAATTACTGTCCATCTGTCCTCGCGGTAAGTGTTTTCCTATATACCTAGGTAGTTTCCTAGCTCCGTTAATTACTGCTAAGTAAACGATACCTGTGACTTTGTTGCTTTAGCTGCCTCGACTGTTTGGGGTTGGAGAATGTGGAGATCTGGATATTTTCAAAGTAGGCCGTCTGCGTAGGGATACAACCAAGGTTATCGGCGAATAACCATACCACTGATAAAGGCAGAGGCATAACCTGCTGGTTCTTTTCCTAAATTTCGAATGGGCGGATATAAATAGTTCAGTCCTGTTCTCTTCCAGTTTAACGAAGATTTACTCACGTGCGTGAAAGCATAAGGATACACGCGTCGTGTGAAACAGACACACACACAATCTTCAGTGATAACTGCAGCTACACAAAATGTAGAGACACATAGAAATAAGTACAATACCGTTGCGTGGTAGCTTGCAAATTTGCCTCGCAGAGCGTTACCATAATGTAGGAAGGTAGATCTTTATAGGACATCTCATAAATGTAGCCTTAAAATAAATGCCTAATAGGGGATTAATATTGAGAAATTTGTTTTATTGAACTCTTCTATCTTAATCGATTACTGGAGTCGTCATGTAAGCTTGTACTATCTAGAGATTCTTGACAAAATCCAAAGACGTATCTGCAATGTTATCGGTCCTGACATGTCATCTCGGCTTCGGTCACTAGTTTGCTGTGAATTTATTCAGAGAGATGGGGAGGCATAGTGGGGGGGGGAGAGATACGGATATATATATTTTTCCCTGACTATCCGTTTAGGTGAAACCTAGGTAGGTTTGTCTGGCTCACTAGGTTTATCTATCTATCTATCAATATGAGCGAGAGAGAGAGTGCGTGAGAGAGAGAGAGTGAGAGAGAGAGAGAGAGCGTGGAGAGAGAGAGAGAGCGTGAGAGAGAGAGAGAGAGAGCGCGAGAGAGAGAGAGAGAGAGAGAGAGAGAGAGAGCGCGTGAGAGAGAGAGAGCGCGCGAGAGAGAGAGAGAGAGAGAGAGCGCGCGAGAGAGAGAGAGAGAGAGAGAGCGCGTGAGAGAGAGAGAGCGCGTGAGAGAGAGAGAGTGAGAGAGAGAGAGAGAGAGAGACCGAGCGAGAGAGAGAGAGAGAGAGAGAGACCGAGCGAGAGAGAGAGACATACAGATAGATAGACAACGTTGAATAGCAATTGTTCTGATGAGTTTTCCCCCCTCTCCGATATCGCGACTTTGGCAGCTAAGTTACTTTTGAAATTGCTAGCGGGAACCGTAAATTCTATATTAACAGTTTCTTATCTCGCACTTCTCCTTTGTGGAACTCTTACGGCTTCTTGCTTTTCTGTTAACAACGATCTCCACAAATTTAAATGCAGCGTCTTCTATCTTATCCTGTCTCAACGTTTTCCCGGTTTATTTAACTGTGTTACGCTTTGTGCCTTAGAGGCTTTATCGTCTTGCCTGGGGTGAAATTAAAAGTGTACGAAAGGCTACTGAAACGGTCACTGGATTCTGTATGGTTGATCATTAATTCATGAAAATATAATTACAATCTTCATGAGAGGTTTCAATACGTCAAATCCCAATGCTGCATCAACGATTTATAATTTTCTTTTTATCTTGGTTTATTTTAGGAGGGGCATGGAGATGCTCAAAAAGGATGCATGGAAACTGGTTGGCTAAACTCATCACCACGTGTTGGCTTGCACTCGGGGATGAGATTTTAGGAATATGGGTGTGGGAGGCTTCTTGGCCCTTCTAATTATCTATCTAGGCGTCTATCATTGAAAAAAAGTCCAAGTCCACGCGATTTTCTGTCCAGTAGTTTGCCGGTCTGGATTCCTTACGCATTCAGCATAATCAATTTCCCGATTTTTTTTTTTTGTAAGCATTTCACCCCAGACAAGGCTGGAAGCCACTAGCACGCAAGAGATTACAGAGGATTTGGAGCGAGAGCAGATAGGAGTGATAGAGGAAAGGATGAGGAGAAGGATAGTGGATAGATCAAGGCATCTGGAGATATCGATTGGCATTTCATTTGAATATTTGGAGATTATAGCTATCAGGGAAACAGGAATAGGGAAGGGAGTTCCACAGGCGAGAGGTCCGAGATATGAAGCTAGTGGAGTAGAAGAGACGGCTACATAGTAAACTATCGGAATTTTTTTTTAAGAGCTTTTCCAAGCCCTTCTAACAGTGTGGACATAGGAATCAACATTCCATTACGACTGTCAGTTTAGCATCACGGGGGAGGTATCTATACGAAAAGTACTTATCCATCTAATATTAATATTAACAAAAACAAAACGAACTAAGCCACATCGGGCAATAACGATATAATTCTCTTGAAAGTACCTCTCTTGCAGCCTTACATAATCTAGAGTCCTTTTCCATTTTTCAAAACATTTGACAAAGTCCACTTTTTGGATCGTCATCAGTTGGTCCATTGCTTTCTACTTATATTGTCTTGTATCCAAACTCAGTCTATCCGGTCTCAATTTTAATTGATAAGCTCTAAAGAGGACTGTCTATAACCGCATGCCCACAAAGTTACATACAAGGCCACGCAGCCAGTCCTCGAGAGATTCAACATGACTTAACACATTCTGAACAGAGCTTGTTGATGCTCAAGTAGCAGCATAATCATTTAACAATACCTCGTACTCCAAGGGTAAGGGATTTGTGAAATTTTGAAAACAGTAGTGGTCATGGTCAAAAGATGAAATTATTCAGGGTCAAAAAAAAAAAAAAAAATTGAAAATTGTGAACATAAATATACGCTGCAAAATTTACTACTTTTATTAGACGAATGACTCGCTAACTACATAGGTGGACACAAGATCCTTGCTTAGCTGAGCACCTGACCAGTTCTCTGTATCTCAATAGAAAGCCGAAAAGGTATTCATTTACGCGTAGCATGACTGGCGGCACCCATCCCTCTCCAGATTAAATCACAGCCTCCAACTTGAACTATTGATCGGTACGACACTGCCGAACAAGAAGGAATTTTCAGCGTGATTTTACTGTAAGCAGTTCGAAAGGAACACCTATCAATATTAGAAAGAGCTACAAAACTTAATGGACTAAAGTTCAGTTTTTCTAAAAAACTTATAATTATTTTATATATGTTTCAACCAACAATAACATTGTCAAATATTCCTTGTATTGAAACAGTTACCATTTAAGTAGAGTAAATAAATTTCGCGGAAGCAAAATTCCTTAAAAATACATTCTTAATGAATACTGGAAGAAGTGTGTGTGTATATATATATATATATATATATATAAAGATCATGTATCAATGTCAAATATCTACATATAATGCTGTAAAATTTTATTGGTCTCCTATGGCAAGGCTGGTTAGACAATCTATTGATTATATAATACTTGATATATTTAAATTCAAGTGTCACAAATTAGAGACAGCTACAAAATGAGTTTAATAACGGCAGCTACGTGACTTTTCCTAAGACGGACACGGAGAGCGAGGAAGAAAGACGGACACGGAGAGCGAGGAAGAAAGACGGACACGGAGAGCGAGGAAGAAAGACGGACGGAGAGCGAGGAAGAAAGACGGACACGGAGAGCGAGGAAGAAAGACGGACACGAGGAAGGACGGACACGGCGAGGAAGAAAGACGGACACGGAGAGCGAGGAAGAAAGACGGACACGGAGAGCGAGGAAGAAAGACGGACACGGAGAGCGAGGAAGGAAGAAAGACGGACACGGAGAGCGAGGGAACGGAAAGAGCGAGGAAGAAAGACGGACACGGAGAGCGAGGAAGAAAGACGGACACGGAGACAGGGGAAGGAGAGAGAGGAAGAAAGACGGACACGGAGAGCGAGGAAGAAAGACGGACACGGAGAGCGAGGAAGAAAGACGGACACGGAGAGCGAGGAAGAAAGACGGACACACGGAGAGCGAGGGAAGAAAGACGGGACAGGGAAGAGAGACACGAGGAAGAAAGACGGACACGGAGAGCGAGGGAAGACGGAACGGAGAGCGAGGAAGAAAGACGGACACGGAGAGCGAGGAAGAAAGACGGACACACGGGAGAGGAGGAAGAAAGACGGACACGGAGAGCGAGGAAGAAAGACGGACACGGAGACGGGACACGGAGAAGAAAGACGGACACGGAGAGCGAGGAAGAAAGACGGACACGGGCGAGGACGAAAGACGGCGAGGAAGGAAAGACGGACACGGAGAGCGAGGAAGAAAGACGGACACGGAGAGCGAGGAAGAAAGACGGACACGGAGAGCGAGGAAGAAAGACGGACACGGAGAGCGAGGAAGAAAGACGGACACGGAGAGCGAGGAAGAAAGACGGACACGGAGAGCGAGGAAGAAAGACGGACGGACGAGGGGGAAAGACGGACAGGAAGGAAGAAAAGACGGAGAGCGAGGAAGAAAGACGGAGAGCGAGGAAGAAAGACGGACACGGAGAGCGAGGAAGAAAGACGGACACGGAGACGAGGAGAGTTTGGAGCGGAAGAAAGACGGACACGGAGAGCGAAGAAAAGAAGAGCGAGGAAAGACGGACACGGAGAGCGAGCGAGAGGGAAAAAAAAGACGAACACGGAAAGCGAGCGAGAGGCGAAAGAGACGGAGAGCGACCCAAATATGTTGCATAAGCATAGTGAAAGATGTACACATTTCTTTCGTTGTTTTCATAAAACTTTAATTTAGTTAATAGAGAATGAGAGCTACATCCATCGCTGTTATCAAATATATTACTTTTATGATAAAAAACGTGTTTCGATTTTTTGTTTTGATAATGATTGTTAATGCTCTGATAAATTTAATGAATTTGAATATTATCTCCCGAAGAGAAGGAGACTTTCATCTTGCGAAAATGTCCAATGCGTTCATAATCTATACTGACTTGCAAATCATCTGCAGACGGAAAGAATATCAGTCTTCTCACTGGACTTATTCAACCTATACAGTCAAGCAATTCTGAGAGAATTAGAAGTCCTAGGATTCATTTGTTGGCGGCCACAATCTTAACGTAAGATATACGGATGACAGTGTTGATAGCAGACACAGAAAGAAAACGACAAAAACTCCTAAAGAAGTTAGTAAAAGAAAGCAAGAAGAAAGGACTAAACAAACTGAAAGTAGACAGAATGCATGTTTTTTATCAAAAGGATGAGCTCAAAATGCAAATTACAAATCGGAGATACCAAAAATATAAAGATCAAAAAGTACAAAAATTTAAGTATGTGGTAAGTGTTTTAACAGAGGACGGAAGTGCGACATTGAAATCCGAAGACGCGTTGGGAATAGCCAAATATGCATTCTAAAAGCAAAGCAGAGTATTAAGAAACAGAAAAAAACTTCGTTAAAAACAAGGAAAAGTGTACTGACCTGTTACACTTATGTTCTACTGGGTGCGATGGATAAATTGTAATTTTATATTTTTAATTTCGCACAGGTGCGTTTTTCTTTTGTTTTTTGTCGACTACGCGATACAGTAGGGTCAGTTGGGCACGGTCTGTGAAGAAAAGAGCACCATGACGCAATTCACTCCGCCAGAAATTTGAAAACTGCATGCTTTATTATTTGGCATTCGCGCGGGGCGTCCCAACACTAACATTTCAGTGTTTGGGCGTAAATCTGAAGACAGTGCAGAGGATCTGGAAAGAGTTGGATGAGTCTAATGGTGATTACGAAGTTACGGAACCGTCATATAGCCTGACCTGCTTTTACCGATTTCGCCACAGAGGATACAGGATACAGATTCAATTCCTGTCCGAGGACGTATATTTTCTATAAAAATTTCTCAGACATTCAGGCCGGTAAATGTTAATACTGTTTATTATAAACAGAGCATTTATTTAAATATTTGTATCTATAAAAAAGAATGTATAAACATAAAAATGTCTTAAAATAATTGTACCTTTCATAATACCTCATCTCAGAAATATAGACAGATACTTTAGTAAATATATCTATTAAGCTGAGATGTCAGTGCTATTTTCATTGTTGCGTAATTTAGACGACAGTACATCTATCGCACCCTGTATATGGCAGTGGATGTTAGGCATTCTCGTCGAAGATAAATGCTGAGAACACAATGGACCGACATGTAAGCAACGACGAGGTTTTAGAGAAAATGGAAACTAACTTATCAGAAAGAGACAGTTGAAATATGTGGGGTCATAATGAAGGAGGGAAGGGGAGGTTGGAAAATTTGTTACACACAGGGCAGATTAAAAGGTAAGAGCGACAGATGAAAACAGCGCATAACATACTTTATGGGCTTGAGTAAATAGATGACAGAACAAGTTTTAAGAGAAGTAGCAGAAAGAAAAATTATCAAGAGCTACAACGCACAGGAAATTGTGTAAAACCATGATCGTCTACGTCTTGAGGGAACACGACACTGTCTTTCAAGATATACCTGCAAATCTAAAGAGAACTTCTAACATATCTGGTAAAACTATGAATAGAAAGAACTTCCTCCCTCCCCAAGGGAAAAATGGCTTGAAATGTTCTGTCCAATTATTCACGGAGATGATTACGAATAAAAGGCTCGTAATAGTTTTCTGAGGTTACTCATTTTTAATAGAGACAAAGATTTAATCGAATGAAATTTATTGATTGCCTCAAAGTAATTTCGATTCAGCCTTGCTGAGTATAAGCAGTGACAGTATGAAATATGTTTACGTAAATCAAGCAGAATAAAATAAACGTGAAATATTATAAAAGTAAAAAGATGTCATTGTTGAAATTTTTCATTTTTTTTTTTTTTCGTTTTGAAGATGATTTCCAGTCTGCTTGATTTTGCAATCAAGTTTATTAAATTAAAAAAAATAATTAAATATCAACCAAGTTTATTAAATTAAAAAAAATAATTAAATATCAACCGTTGCGCGTTAGTTTTCAAAGATAACACATGTCAGTTGGTCTGACTGTCAAAATATGTTTAAAAATAGGAATGGAGATTGGATTATTTTGTGTATAGACAAAAGAAAAAATTATTGGTAGTTGATCTACTTGTCTTAAATATTTTTAATTCTTGGTGCATTTTCATTAGATTTTTTTTTTTTTATGAATCTCATATTGGATTTACATTCTACATCCGTTAAGCAATCTGCAGGGATTGGAAATAAGAAATTAGATTAGAAATAGCCCCAGACGAGATTTGAATTCGCATCCCATATCTTTGGAAACCTGTCGGATATAGAAAAAAAAAAAAAAAAAAAAAAAAAAAAAAACTAAAATTTAAAGAAAAAAATTGCAGGGATACAAAAAATTTATTATGAAAATAAAAACTGACATATTAAAAAGAACATTTATAAAAAATAAAAGGAGAATAGAAAAAAGAAATATTACCACAAATTAGTAGTATCGAAATACAAGAGGATATTTATTAAAAAAAAAAAAAAAAAAAAATACCCAACCCCGCCAAAAAAAAACCAAAAAACAACAGCAACAAAAAACAAAAACAAAAAAACAACCCCAAAAACAAACAAAAAACAACAAAAGAAAAACCAAAACAACAAAAAAACAACCCCCCCAAAACAAAAAACCCAAAAACCAAAAATAAACAAAACACAAAAAAAAAAAAAAAAAAAAACAACCCCTAAAAAAAAAAACAACAAAAAACTATAACACAGATAAACCGGTTTATCGGCTGTCGTCATAGCAAAGATCGAGGACAAAAAACATAGAAAGAAATGTGCACATTGACTAAAAATGAAAATCCAGCACCAAATGTTATAAAAAAAAACTATATGCCATTTACAGGCTCATAATTTTAAGGTCTACCAAAACCTTTTGCTTACAGAGATATGGCTGGTAGGACTTAATGCAAACAGATTCAAATACTTTCAAATAGTATTCCGAATTAACCTTTCTCAGTACTGAAAACTTGTCCGAGCTATGAAACAGGGTACATTACTGGCTTTCAGTCAAATGTTCGGTTATTGCTGAACCAGTTATATTCACTTATCTATGGAAATTGTTCACCTTGCCCTTGCTAATACTGGCTACTACTTGTTGATTAAAAAATCCTTTGAGTTATTCAGCTAGAAAGAGAACTGGTTTTGTGTCAGTTCCACTGTCTTCCCAACTAAGACATGGTGAGAGAAAAAAAAAGTTCATTCAGGCCTTCAGTAATAATACCATCATTCATACTCTAGTTTCCATCTTCAAAGTCCATTCAAGGACCATCAAAAGAACGGTGAATAAGTTTAAAAAAGAGGGAACAGTAGAGAGGAAAACTGTATCAGGAGGTCACAACATGAAGCTTAGAGCTAAAGAGATTAATTAGAAAAGCTCTAACTCAATTCATAAGACGTTTGGCACATGAGAAAAGTTTCACCTATGACAGTTCAAAGAGGAGTGAAAAAAAAAAAAAAAGACTTGAAATGAAAATCATACGTGAAACCTGTGAGGCACCTTGTTAGAAGGCGAAGGTTATCGTGAATGTTGGAAAATGATCCTGGAATATATATATATATATATATATATATATATATATATATATATATATACTAGCAGCATTACCCGGTGTTTTGGGTTTAAAAAAAAAAAATCACGAACCTCATCCAATCTGTAAAGTTAAAATAAAGAAGATTTTTCTTTAGTGCCTCTTATCTATATGGCGAAAAATTATAATGACATGAAGTCTGAAAACATTTATAACAGGAGAAAGTTGTTTTTTACAAAAGCACAGAAGATAGAAAAAAAATTGTCAGCAAATGATGAGTACATTAATCGCAATTGATCTTTGGAAATTGTTGAGGAGAAATGATTTGTTGACAGCTTTTGCTCAAACTACATTGAATGAACAACATGCATTGGAAGGAGAAGAAATTCAACAACTACTTCAGTTACTCGATATAATCTCAATATGTACTGAAATTTTCATTGAAATTGGGGAATACTGCTACAAAATACTTGAAAATCAACTGAGGCATCAAGGGGTTTATATGGTCATCCTGGGGGGGGGCTCATGCATTTTTAAAAATCTGACAAACCGATTTCTATCTCATTGTAAGAGCGTAACAAACATGCAAAATTTCATCAATTGAATTTTTTGGGGTCCCTTTGGGGCACCCTGGGGGTCCCAGCCCAGTGTCGAGAGAAATGAAAATTAATATAGTGTATAATTAGGTACCTCCACAAAATCGCTAAAAAAAGAGCATAGCTTGATGAAAAGACGCCAAACTTGCTGAAAACTAAATTTTATTGTGTAAATGCTTATGTTATTATTAAGAGGAAAGACCAAGTTTTTTTTAATTATTTTAAAAAATTTTCCTTCTTTTTAGAACATTCTAAATTTTGATTAAAAAAAAACTTTTTTCTATTTATCAGCGGAACTAGTAAATAACAGACAATTTTTTAGCACGTTTTTTTGGTATGACACACATTAATTTGAAAAATCGTGCAAAAATAGAAATAATTATCGGATGTTAATGAAACTTTCAGAAACTATTCACAGATGATCGAAATTATTATAAATATGTTTTTTCTTTATGAAAGTCATGGTAGAAATATTTTTTTTTAAATATTTATTATCCCCCATAACTAATTTTTATGAAAACGCTAGAAATTGATCGCATCGGTTTTAGTGATTACAATAATTAAAAAGCACAGGGCTTTGAGGAATGCAAATCATG